AAATCTATCCATCAGTACCCCACAAATCAAATATATTAATAAATCAAATGAAATACAATGCTTCCGTTACCATAATTACAGACTTTCAATGTTATTTGGAAAACGGTATCTATTTTTCCCTACTAGGGTAACAGAACTAATTATTTTGCCATTTTAAAGAGCACCTCTCTTAGGAATAGGAAAATATCTCCTTAAAAGGCCATTTTCAGCATGTGGAACACAGTCTACTTAGCTTTATAAGTCTTGCTAAAAGCTATAAATTACTTTTTTTTTTTTTAAGAAGTATGGGGGGAATATGGAGTGTGGATGTTATATTAAGTCACTTGTCCCTTAAGTTAGGTACCTTGTCTCCAGTAAAGACCCATGCCTGAGGACAAAGCAAACAAATAAAACCACACAAATAAATAAATAAAGGAAAGAAATCCAATATGGCACAATGATGGAAACTGGAACAAAGGGCAACATTTTTTCCTGACCCTTGCAAGCTCGTAAGATTCACTGCTAAACATGACATTTAGAAGCCCTTATTTTAGCATACCTGTCTACAAATGGTGCCAACAGTCATAAAAATTACCCATACATTTTCCAAATATGGATAGAGTTTTCACTTTATATCTCCTAAAACAATCAATTCCACATTTTTTCAAGATGCACAACACAAGAAGATAAATTCTTTCAGGCTACATTTCATTGCTAGGTAAAGTCGTAAAAAATAAAAGAATTCCCCCTTCTCAGTTTCATCATGCTTGGTAACAAGATGGCGTATAAAGCACATTTTTCCTGATACAATGAAGTGTATATTAATACTTTGAAATTAGAAATTGTATTTTAAACAAAATGAAACAAAGGTTTGTGAACAAGTCAATCATTACAAAACAAGGATAGCAAAATTCATTTCAGAATGACACAGGACCCCTAGGATACAGAAGATTAGTAGTAGAATAAGACAGAGAGTACCAAAATTGAAGTAATTAAAGTACCCAATTTCAAGTGTGTTCAGTCATTTAAAAAAGAATGAGGAAGAAAAAACCCAGAAATTTTGAAATTCAACAGAACAAAAATGTTTGTATTACACCAAAACATCAATGTGAATGTTATGGCTGGAAATGTATCTAAAAAGAAGTTGACCAAGCTTCTAACTTAAGGAAATAAAGTATTTTTATCCTAAATGTGCTTTAAACACTGCATAATTCTAGTGTGTAGGACCTGCAAAAAGTCATAACAAATATATAACAACAACCTGCATCAACAGATCTTGGAACATCATTAATGAGCTAGAACCCTTTACCTTAGGCCCTTGTGTACTGAAGTAAAAAGAAAGACTTCCAACAATTCAAATGAGTAATCAATCAAGTTTTTCACCACCCGGACATCAAGAAGAGGGTAATGCCTGGCAAGATGACTGAAACGAGGGAACCACAGATATTCTCTGACTGTTACACAGTGGGCTCCAATTAAAAGGCTGGGCAACCTCTGCTCTACATAAAGCTTAATTTGTATTCCTAACACTTAAGTAGAAGTGCTGAAGAGCTGAAAGATTAGAACCATATATCTTTTGACACTAGAAAAGTGTTCAAACATTTGAACTTATGACAAATTTGGCATCACAACAACAAAGCAATGTTTCAAATAAATGTACTGTGGAGCACCGTATTCCAGTGAGTGTTATGTGTATCGAGCTAAAATCTGCTCTATTGTTGGAACAATATAGTTGCATTTATATAATTCTCTCCCATGAAGCTGAGCAGTATTGGAGTATTTGTGACACCATATATATGATGTAATATACTTTATTTTCTCCACATTTTGTATTTTTACACAAATAAAGATTGAAGTAATTAGATAAACATTGTAAAATATAGCATGGTACATGTCACAGAAAAAAATTAACTAAATTTGTTCTCATAGTGTAATTATGTGCTTGTTTATTTCTATTCCACCCTACCCAAAAGGCTCAGAGTGGCTTACAATAACCCCACTTTCTCCCACATAGGAGTCCACAAACAATACCCCAAAACTTGAGAACACCAGCTTCCCTGGTTTCCTCCAAACATCAGCTGCCTGCCCAAATCCTCATACAATCAACCCTCCCCATTAATCCCAACCATTCCTCTAACCAACACTCATATCCAGATACAAGAAACTTATTCCCACACTCCCACTGCTCTGCCTCACCCCCAGAGAAGATACCCCCAACAGTTCTACATCAGAACTGTAGCTGTCATTCTCCCTCTCCCAAAAAACACACATAATCCTCCACTTACTCAACAAACACAACACTAAATTCAAAAGAAATCTAACAAAAAGTAAAAGAATGACCCTCTACCCTATCTCTGTCACCAGCAAAAGACAATGCCAATGAGTACCCTTAAGCACTATTTCAGCAGCACCCACCAGGGAGGCTTGCAGTCTGGCTGGGTTCTTCTTAATGCCACATAAGGTCTTGAAAGATCATTATGGTGAACAAGATGCATAACTGTTTCCAAATTATCCCTTGCATTTTGGGTTGCAATGCACTGCATCACTGGCACAAAGTACCTTAAGAGCAGCAAAGCCTGTCAAAGGGATGATGATAACCTTAACGTTGGAGTGGTGGGGGAGGAAATCCATCAATATCACTCCTATGCAGAGTTACAATCCTATGTAAATTTTCGGCATTTAAAAAAAATTCCCATTCAGTATCTGGATGAACCTAAGCCTTTTTCAAATTGCACATGAAAAAGCAGAGAAACCCTCCTCATCCCCACTCTAGAACTGCCAATAATCTGGTGGTTAGAGTACTCACCTGACATGTGGGAGACCCAGGTTCTCAGGACTGCTCTGCCATTCTCCCATATCCCAAGTGAGTGTCCTAATTTCTACATAGTTGCCTATTCTCATGTACATATCTCAGGCCCCTGCCAGACATTACACTTAAGATTAACCAGTTAATCACATCTTAAGTTGTAACCCGGCCATGCATTAAAGCAATTAATGGCATCATAACACAAGAAATAAGTCACAAACTTATTCCACAAACAATACAGCTGGTTCATATGATGCCATTAACTGAATGTGTGGTGCTCTTCCCCCTCCCTAACCAGCTGGAAGCCCCATGAGTTGACGGGGCTCTCAACTACAGCGGCACATGATGTGCTCCTATAGCTGGAAGCCTGCAGTTTATGGGGCTCAAAGCCATGGAAGCACACCATGCGCTCTGGTGGCTGGGAGTTCTGTCAGCTGTGAGCACCATCAGCTGTGGGCTCCAAGCCATGGGAGCCTGCTACTTGCTGCTGAAAGGGGGAGCCCAGAATCATGATCCCAGGCTGTCCCTGCACCGGCAATAAGGTGCAATAGGATCTGATGCTTGATCCCACAATCACACCTCCTGCCATGCCCATGTCACATGGCAGGAAGCACTACTGTGTAGCTTCAACATCAGATACTATCAAGCCTTTACCTGCATGGCTAGCAGGGGCCTCAATTTCTCCTGTTGGAGCTGTTCCACTTTGCAAAACTGAATATTCTTGGAGCAAAGGATTTGAACCTGAATCCTATATCTTGCATCCAAGGTGAGTGTCTATGCACTGAGCTATAAAGTCTGTCTCTGCCCCTAATTCAATAAATATTTAATTTATACACAGTGGAAAAGCTCTACTTGAAGCAAATGACAAATACCCACCCATGACAGCTGACAACCTGGTGGCTAAAAGCATCCACCTGGAATTTGGCTTGAATCAAGTAGATTAAGAACATCCTATACGACTGCCTTGAGCATTAAGTTACTGATCTCTCTCCAGAAATTTTATACTGGACCTCAGAAACCTTTCCTGGAAAAATATTTCAGTTTCCTGAATAAACATTTTCTCCTTAAAATATATATATATATATATATATATATATCCAGATTGGTTCTACCCCTACACCTTTTCCCTCTGTGGCCACCAAAGAGGACATAAATAGTGTTTTCTTCAGGCTGCTCTAACTTACCCAGAGGGCCTGCCCAAGGCACAGATTTTGAATTGTCTCTACCCATCCTGAATCATTCCATGCAGAGATTCTGGGCTTGTTTTGCTCAATAGGAGTGTTTCATGATCACAGACTTTATATATAAGTATTGGTATATTCCATACTAGCATAAAGTAAATAAACATTACTGTTTATTAGCGTAATAATTTTATATTGCAAAATAATTCAGCATATGAAGAATGCTCAAAATACCACAATACTGTTTACACTTCTAATTTCTACATTTTCTTCTCCAAATAAATCACTTCATGAACTACTGGCAAAAGTAACAGTAACTTTGCTTGCCATCTTGTGCTCTTGTTTGAATGGTCTATATATTGAGCATGTGCCTTTTGTTTCAAGTTGAAGTATTATTCCTTATCAACAGTAAAGGAAATGTCAGTATTTTATTATAAGCCATTTAAAGTCAAACAATGAAATGTAATGGTTTCCCCTGCTAGAGTATTTTAAAGTAAAAGTCAGAACAGCCGGTTTCTGGAACAATAAATGTGTTTCCTCCGCAAAAAGCCTTTTTTATGCAAACCCTATCAATATTTTGTAGACCAACATATAAAAACAGCATCAATATTTTGAACCTTGACGTGCCCTTAAAAAGCATTTGGTCATGAAGACATATGTAGATGTCTTTTGAACTGTTTATGCTTCATTTGTCCCAATGGGACTATTGGTTGCTGAACAATGACAAATAAATGAAATAAGAAGATGCTAGAAAAGAATATCAGAAGCTGCTTCAAAACTTTTGTTAATTTGCTTGCTGCAAAAATAACACTAATTAGTAAGGCTTTTCCATGGCATTGGTTATTATAATAGTAAATATAGTCCACATCTTCCTGTTTATATGCGGACACATGCACATATATCTTATCACCCTGTTGACACTACCAGCTTGTTCTTTGCTTAAGGTACATAAGTTATTTTATGTAATACAAACAAATATGAATATACAGAGTTAAAAACACTTTCACTACTAAGTGTACTGTGATAAAACAAACCTCTTCAGCCTGAAACTTTCCTTTTTTCACCACTTTCCGAATCTCCCTAAGGAAAGATAAGTAAAATACGGTAAGGTCCATACATTCTGGCTCTTTCAGGCCAACACGCAGTGAACTCCAGCATTCAGGACCCTTCATTAAGTACACACTAGTATTCCCTTCTCATTTTTCTGAAAGTAGAATTTCATAGTGATTTACCATTTTGCAGAGATTATAAAATCTTATATTTGACCATCAAGTATAAACATTCTCCTGCATTGGTTCTGCAAAAGTAATTGTGCAATAATGCTATCATTTTGAGCAATGGCAATACAAGGTCAAATGTACACCAGCATGAGTGTATACAACTGCATTAATGTCAAAATAATTGTGTCAACTACTTCTAATGGTGAATTTGGTCCACAGCATGGTACCAATAAGAGGCATATACAGCCATACCCAACATCAATCATTATTCAGTTAGTTATTTGACATATTATTTAATGACAGTTCTGGATGCCTCTCATTACACTAAGGTAGTGTGAATTAATTTTCCGTGTTGTTGCATTTGCTGCAATGGCTATGTTTAGTGATGAAGAAATGTTCCTTTTGCCTGGCTAATACAGAAAAGCTGCAATAGTGGTTATTCCTTGACATCTTTAAACAACTGATAGTTTGGAGGACTGATCATAAGAATGAAAGGCTGGTTCTCCTGAGTTCTAATCCTGGCTGTATTGCTAACTCAGTTAATAACCTTGGGAGTTCATCCCAGTAGCTTTCAGTCTCACCATTTGTAATAAAGGAACCTTCCTACTTCATAAACCATGACAAGATTAAGTACTTAATATCTGTGAAATATTTGTACATGTCAATTGCTACATAATGCCAAATATTTTTAAACACCAGTCTGAGAAAGTTGGTGAGTTTCATCTGGAAAAGCTGTGCATGAATAAATCTATTGCGTTTTTTTTAAATTTCTCACCTCAAGGTTTCTGTTTAAGTTTGGGATTTGAATGAATGCCAAGTGTAAAGCAAAGTGCAGTGCAAAATCTCTCTTTTGCAGGGTTTTAAATCAAAATACCCAATTTGGCAAATTTGCTGTATGGAACCAGTCTGCCAAGGTTCTTTAAAAGGTTTGTCCGAAAATATCATCAACATGGTTTAATTTATAGCTCACGTTGGGCCCAAAATTGAACCTGAAATCTCAATTTCTCAAAAAACATTTCAGCAATGTTTGAGTAAAACTTTCTAACCTCTAATTGTACCTCCTCTTGTATATCCAAAATGGAATGGATCTGTTTTCTAGAGGTGCTTTGTATTTAATCCAAGATGGCAGAACTCTAATAAGAACAATTCCAAATTGTCAATGCCATCAAACAAATCCAGCTTCAGCAATGATTTGTCCTCATACTTGGACTCTTGGCTAATCAAATCAAATGCACCTTCCTTGGTTCATAACCAAAAACTTTCATTTACTTTCTTACTCTTACTGTCTCATAAACACACCATTACCTGAAAGAAAGTAAATACATATGAAATAATATGGGTCAAAGATGAAAACTGTGGAGTACCAAACATAGCCAAAGCAACTGAAACATCATCAATAGTGATGACAGAGACCCACTGTGTGAATTAAATATTTTTATACATCTCAGTAACAACTGCACTAGAACTAAATAACTTACAGTCAAAATCCCATGATTCACTATGACATGGTTCTCCCATGAGCATATGAAAAATGTGACCTAAGAAAGTGTCCTAGAGGAAAGAAGAGAACCTGCCTCCAACACAGGTAGGCAACTTAAGAAGATGGAGTGCTGTAACCTTACACTCACATAACCCTCACCTCAAATGCATTAAATGACCTTCTATTTCCCTTCGCATTCAAGTAGTCTAATAAGGTATTTTGCTCCATAGAATTTTGCTATCATTTAATATCTATATGGCTGTTCTACTTGTTGTATTAACATAATAATTGCTATGCAGTGTATTAAATATGGCTCATTTTAATGCTATATCGATAGGCCTGACCTCATAATAAATATTACTGTCCTTGGTCTTTAAATGTTGAACAGTGATGTTCAGGTCAATGGCATATTAATAGGAGTCAATTACATTCATGAATTGTTAATTATTTACTTTTCTTGTTTTGCACATTATACCAGTAAGCAAAGAAATTGTGATAACTTTCCCACAAGAGGAAAGAATAACATGAAGATGCAAAATAGCTAGACGAAAAGGGCAACTTTAATTTAATCTAATGTTTCTGGAGTTGTACCCTGCTTTGGTCTGAAATTCTGGTCAAATATTTTGGCTTAGATTCAATTGATAACATTCGGTAACTTGCTAATTTTGTATTATGACACAAAAGTGAAATATTTTATTTGGAATACAGTGCTATATGATGAAGATTACTTCTCTAAGGTTTTCATTTTAAATGAAGATTGTGAGTAACTCATACAAAGGAAAACAAGTGCAGAAAATATCTTTGTTTCAGATTTATATTTCTTAAAACACTTTTAAGCCAGCATAACCATAGCAAAGTTATATCCACCATGGCCGTGTCCAAATGAGTGCAGCCGTGCAGTATGTGGTGCCACAGACATGTCTGATGTACTACATACCACACATTGAGCTGTTCTCCACACGAGAAGGGAGCAGTGCATGGGATTTTTTTTAGGCCCCTGGATATCCAGGGGTCAAAAACACCTTCAAAACAAAAAGTGGAGCGGTACATGCGGGGGGCAGCATGTGCTGCTCAAAACTGGAGTCTGGCCAGCTGGAGTTAGACTCTGACTGCCAGCCAGCCTCCACATGCCTGGATCGCTGCTGCTGCAGCTCAGGGAGGTCCCCAGGATCCCAGGTAAGGCTGCTGGGGCCTTTCCGGCACTAGCCCCAGTCTCCCCTACCCTGCCCAGGGTAACTTGCTTAGCTCCAGAGGGCATGTGGCACCAGCATTCCCCAGGCACAAGTAGTTGCAGCATAAGGTGCACCACTGCTAGATGTCCCCAGGGAACCAAACATCCATGCACAGGTAGATGCAGCCCATAAGTCTGGTATTAGAAAAGAAAGAATCAGATTCATCAAACCTTTGATAATGCACCTTGAGGCTTATATATCAATCAGTGGTGGCAAGAATGGATGGGCAAGCATGCTGAGCCCCAAAGGCTGCTTGAAGAAGAGGCATGCCAGAATGGAGCATGGAGCACCTCACCCTTCTATCCCCCCTTTCCTCTTTGGCTTCAACTCCAGAAGAGGAAAGGCACAGCAGTGGTGGCACTGTAGGAACATATGTCAGTGGAAGTCATTCGGGGAGGGGGGGGAAGGGGGAGGGATGTCAACTCACTTTTATGTTGCCAAAAACCCTTTTTTTGGGCCACTGGGCAAAAAATGAAGTGAAATATCTCAGTAGCACTAAACTTGCAGCTGCTGTTCCTGTGCTGCTACCACTGCAGAAGCTTTCACCAGAGGCTCTGCAAGGAAAGTGCAAGAGGAAGAGGAGAGGGGGGCAGATCTTTAATTAATCAAGTTGTGAAAGATAACAATTCCATTTTAAAATACTCTTAACTACTCTTAACTAAATTTATATTTTATTACATCTCATCAAAGAAATTATGTTAAGAACTCATGTTAAGATTGCTTAGTTAAGCAAATCAGGATGTGATAAGGTTAAGCTTAAATAAGCAACACTAACTCTGCCCACTGTTGCCTTAACAATATGCTGCAGTCTTTAATTTCATGATTATACAATAATACAAAAAATATAGCAGAATATCATTTTTTACATGTGTATAAGATGCTATATCTTTTGCATTCTTGTACATTCTCACAAATTTTGTCATAGTAATCCAGTATAACATTATTGACAATGTAAAGATACTTTTTTTAGCACTTTAAGTTTTAATAATTTAATTATCAGCCATTAATTAGTTACTTTTACTTTCCTTAAGTGCAATTCAAGAGAAGAGACACTTAATTATAACTTAGCTTAGAAGTTGGGTGGCCTAATTATATGCCTGCATATTTCCACTATTAATCTTTAAATCTAATCTGTAGTATATTTTAAAAGCAAATCAGTTTTCAGACTTCAGTGCAATTTCTTTGGCTGTCATATAAAGAGTAGCACATTACTACATAGGATATGCAATTACACAAGTGCTTAATTTTAAACATTTTAAGCAGAAAAATATGACAATATAACATTTTAGGAACTGTATGCATTTTGTTAAATAACATACTGATACAAATAAACAAAGGGCCAAAGTTAAGGTTGAATAACTGTCAGACATTCAAGCTCAATTAAAATACCTGCTTTGATAAAATTAACTTTTTAAAGAAAAAAGTATAGCAAATAATAAATTCCACTTAAAACTCTTTGGCTAAATATCTTAGAGTATTTACCTTGGTTTCCCAAAAACTTTATCTCTTTTTCCCCCAAGAAGGAAGATAATTATAAGATCCATCATTTCTGTAAACCCTAACTGCATTTCCTCTTCACCTTAAAAAAACCAGCAATAATGTTACAGTGCTTCTCACTATCTCTGCCTTATTCACTGCATACCTTAAATACATTTTTTCAATTTGGAACTAGGTACTGGCAACATGGCATGACATGCAATATGGTATTCTTTAGCTACACACTTTATAAAGCTAGCGTAAAACCCTTCAGTAAAACTGCTAACAATGCCTATGTTATATTCATGTTCAGGGGTTTAGGTTGTAGCCATGTTGGTCTAAGGATATAGGCAAACAAGGTTCCTTGGGTGAATTTGATATCTTTTATTAGACCAACCCAAATGGTTGGAGAATAGTTATTAAGCAAGCTTTCGGGTTCAAAAACCCTTCGTCAGGCTCAGGAAGCTGCAGCAGTTGCTG